TCGCTAAAACACTAAAATCCGTTGACTGAAGAAAGTTCTCAGTTGCTTGAACTCATTAAGCTAACTGTTGAGCCTGTTGTCAAAACCTTAAACCATTTCACACGGTTTAGCAGAACCCTGAACACATTCTCATTCTTAAACACATTCTGCACTCTAATGTACATGTCGTCCATAACGGTAAACACAAGTGGCACATTTACCCGTAACAAGAGCACAAATGTCATTGATTGAACACAATCAGTCAAAACAGATTTCACTTGTTTCAAATGATGTGAAAACCAATAAAAGCAAGTTCAGAGAGCAAACAGGTTGTTGAAGGTGGGAATGAGAAAGTGTGACAATGGATAGAAGAATTCATGTGAGAGGACGAGGACGGGGGCGTGTGCGAGGTGGGGGACGAGGAGGAGGGCAAGAAAGACAAAGAGGAGGATGAAGAGGAAGAGCAAGACAAAGAGTGGAAATAGCCAATGAAATCTGAGCAACAATCATAGACCATGTTGTTGTCCGTGGGCTGACAACGAGGGAAGCAGGACGCAGAGAGCAACCCAATTTGAGCCGATTTTCTGTGTCCTCCATAGTAAGGACATTCAGAGAACTGGTATAGTTGTATATGCAGCTGTTCCAACAGACATTTGCTAGATTCATCCCTGTATTGCACTGCAAAAATGTTTTTGTAACTGCTTATCTACCACTCATACAATTGCAAGGATGCCTCGTGCGGGTGGAAGGACTGCTATATTCACTCAGGAGCAGGAGACCAATGTAGTGGACACGGTCCTTCAAAATAACACAATACGACTCAGAGAAATCCAGGAGCGAGTGATACAAGACAACACACACTTCCAGGGAATCGACAGTGTGAGCTTTTCCACAACTAACCGTGTCCTCATTCGTAACAGGCTGCGAATGAAACAAGTTTACAGAGTACCTTTTGAGCAAAACTTGCCAAGGGTGCAAGAACCGCGAGCTCAGTGTGTGCAAGTAAGTGTGCATCCAGACACATTTACAGTAATCCAGATTGTCAACATATACTATATGAAAGGCATCACTCTTGAGTGCAATCTATATAAATCTGGTGTTTACATTATTCCTAATTGTACTCTACAGCATAGCACTGACCCTGTACAACTTACACAGTTCTATATTGTATTTCTACACAGACAATATTTGACCTGGAATCCTTGGACAGACCCCACGAGTTCATCTTTGTTGATGAAGCAGGCTTCAGTCTTCAGAAGAGGAGAAGGAGAGGCCGAAGCATTATTGGACAGCGGGCCATTGTTGAAGTCCCTGGTCAACGAGGTGGCAATGTCACAACCATGGTGTTACACATCACCATGTTACATTGGGGCCTTGTAGCACCCAGCATCTCCGCAGATTTCTTGTCAGTCCAAGAGATGGTTTACCATCAATGGGCAGTTTATGAGCCTGTACCTCCCTCCATACTCGCCTTTCCTGAATCCGATGGAGGAGTTTTGTTCCTCTTGGAGATGGAAAGTGTGTGATAGGCAGCCCTACATCAGAGTAAATCTGCTGCAAGCCATGGATTTAACCTGTGGTGAAATAGGTGAGGAATCATGTCAAGGCTGGATACGGCACACCAGAGGCTTTTCCCCCCGTTGCCTCAGGAGGGAAAATTTTGCACGTGACGTCGATGAAGTGCTGTGGCCTGACCCAGCCCAAAGAAGACGAGGCCCATTGATGACATATTTAGTCCTTTGATGTTTTTCATCGTATGTTTTTATTTCATGGTCATTGTACACTGTAGCACACGGACTGCAGGCTGCATATGGTGCAATAAACAAATTGTATGGCCCTGAACTTTGTGCTTTCTATTTATTGGTGTATTGTTTACTGACTGCTTGATGGTGTATGTAATTGTGAGTAATCTGTTTATGATTTGAGAGAAGTGTTTGATTTTGAGCACAGCTAAAACTGTTTTGAGGTGAAAGTTTGATTTTGCAAGAGGAATGAGAGGTTGTGTAAATCGTGCTTGGAGCTGAGGTTTGTGTTTAATGTTTTGAGAAAAGGGAGCAAGGTTTCAGGAATTGTGCTTTAGCAACTGAGAAAACTATAATTTTCTTGGAGAAAAATGGAAATGTGACTGAAAGAATACAGACCAGCATCCCGTTAATAAAAAATGAGAAGTACAGTGGGGCAAAAAAGTATTTAGTCAGCCACCGATTGTGCAAGTTCTCCCACTTAAAATGATGACAGAGGTCAGTAATTTACATCATAGGTACACTTCAACTGTGGGAGACAGAATGTGAAAAAAAAATCCATGAATTCACATGGCAGGATTTTTAAAGAATTTATTTGTAAATCAGGGTGGAAAATAAGTATTTGGTCACTTCAAACAAGGAAAATCTCTGGCTCTCACAGACCTGTAACGTCTTCTTTAAGAAGCTTTTCTGTCCTCCACTCGTTACCTGTATTAATGGCACCTGTTTGAACTCATTATCTGTATAAAAGACACTTGTCCACAGCCTCAAACAGTCAAGACTCCAAACTCCACTATGGCCAAGACCAAAGAGCTTTCGAAGGACACCAGGAAAAGAATTGTAGACCTGCACCAGACTGGGAAGAGTGAATCTACAGTAGGCAAGAAGCTTGGTGTGCAAAAATCAACTGTGGGAGCAATTATCAGAAAATGGAAGACATACAAGACCACTGATAATCTCCCTCGATCTGGGGCTCCACGCAAGATCTCATCCCGTGGGGTCAAAATGATCATGAGAACGGTGAGCAAGAATCCCAGAACCACATGGGGGACCTGGTGAATGACCTGCAGAGAGCTGGGACCACAGTAACAAAGGTCACCATCAGTAACACACTACAACGGCAGGGAATCAAATCCTGCAGTGCCAGACGTGTTCCGCTGCTGAAGCCAGTGCATGTCCAGGCCCGTCTGAAGTTTGCCAGAGAGCACATGGATGATAGAGCAGAGGATTGGGAGAATGTCATGTGGTCAGATGAAACCAAAGTAGAACTTTTTGGTATAAACTCAACTCGTCGTGTTTGGAGGAAGAAGAATACTGCGTTGCATCCCAAGAACACCATACCTACTGTGAAGCATGGGGGTGGGAACATCATGCTTTGGGGCTGTTTTTCTGCTAAGGGGACAGGACGACTGATCCGTGTTAAGGACAGAATGAATGGGGCCATGTGTCGTGAGATTCTGAGCCAAAACCTCCTTCCATCAGTGAGAGCTTTGAAGATGAAACGTGGCTGGGTCTTCCAACACGACAGTGATCCCAAACACACCGCCCGGGCAACAAAGGAGTGGCTCCGTAAGAAGCATTTGAAAGTCCTGGAGTGGCCTAGCCAGTCTCCAGACCTCAACCCCATAGAAAATCTGTGGAGGGAGTTGAAAGTCCGTGTTGCTCGGCGACAGCCCCAAAACATCACTGCTCTCGAGAAGATCTGCATGGAGGAATGGGCCAAAATACCAGCTACTGTGTGTGCAAACCTGTTTAAGACCTATAGTAATCGTTTGATCTCTGTTATTGCCAACAAAGGTTATGTTACAAAGTATTGAGTTGAATTTTTGTTATTGACCAAATACTTATTTTCCACCCTGATTTACAAATAAATTCTTTAAAAATCCTGCCATGTGAATTCATGGATATTTTTTCACATTCTGTCTCTCACAGTTGAAGTGTACCTATGATGTAAATTACTGACCTCTGTCATCATTTTAAGTGGGAGAACTTGCACAATCGGTGGCTGACTAAATACTTTTTTGCCCCACTGTAGATCTAAACCCTAGGAGCATCACCATGCCGCTCTTCCTAAAACAGGAGAAAATTCTGCATGTGTTGTACCATTTCCAGCTGTTTCCACCAGCAGCCGCTGGCCTCCGTAGTATTTTCAGCAGCTGGGTGTAGTTTTTTACTTTTATTTACTAATTAATGAATTGGGGGCTTAGTTTGTGGAAGGACTTGACTCTTCCGACCTCACTGCCCTGTCAGAGGGACCAGATCAGTGTACCTGCTGTTCTGAGACCCAGGTGGGCCTGCCCGTCGAGTCCATAGCCCCCAAGAGCTGCTCCCTCTGGGCTGTAGGGACCACCCTGACCTGTGAGACCACACACACGCCTTCAGACACTAATACACACTCAAACGACCTTGTTCTGAAGAATCCACCGGACTGACCTGAGCGGTTTGACTGGTCAATCATCGGCTGAACTATTCTCCTCCTGGCGTTGATGAACCTGCACGGGGCGAGGTGGGCGAGAGACATGAGGAAAGTTCCACAAAGAGAGAGAGAGAAAGAGAAAGAAGGTTGACCATTAATGGAGATAAAGTCAGAGTGGGAGACTATCAACCCTTTCCCTTTTACAACCACTTAACCCTTTCAGAGGGCACAGCAAATCAGCGTTAGGGCAGAGCTCGTATTGATCACCCCTCTGATAATTGATTGATCTGCATTGATCGGGTCACTCTGTGTGCCGCTGCAGAGTTAGTTAGATCATGAGTTTAACGTGTTGGCAGGAGGAGTGAGTAACTCAGAAGGTGTGACTTTCTGTTTTATCTCAGAAACCAGAGACAACAAAACAGCATTAAATAATCTGATTATTAGATATTGATCTGCAGTTCTGTTTTTATGGAGCAGCAGTGTTTTACTGCTTCAACATGATGACAAAAGTGCTTTGCAGAACATTGTTCTGCCCATCGTAAAAAAATGTTTGATGGACCCATCTCTAATCGTCTCTTAGGGGCTCGACACACGGGAGGCGACAAACGACCGCGATCAGCGGCATTCGTTGCTGTCGCTTTTATTACCTGACACACGGGAGGCGACCCGCGGCAGCGGCAAAGCCGTCGACGCGTTCTGTTCCATGGCGATATCGAATCTTCCGTTGTTTTGATTGGCTATGTCAGGTTGGAGGGAATTAAGGTTATTTAAGAGGTTCAGAGTTAATAAAGCGGTAGATATGATGTTTCACAAGGTGCTGCTAGAGTTATGTGAAATCTTACTTCTGATTTTACTATATTAAAAAAACCCGAGAATGGATCCATCCCATATTACAAACCAGAGAAAGGAACGGAGAATACCACCATTTAATGAGGTATCTCAAGGACGATCCTGATCAATTCTGGACCTACTGTCGCCTCAGCCCGGAGCTTCTCACCCTGGTAACCCCAAAGATGGAGAAGATTCACACAAACACGAGAGAACCAATAAGCCCAGAAGAACGACTAATCTGTCCAAGGAAAGTTAATATGATAAACAGTAATTATATTTTCGGAGATTTACGGATCATCCTGTCCGCTCATTGGTCAGTGAATGAAACCTCCGTTCATTGGTTCTCGTCCGAGCGACAGCGATGAAAAGTTGAAAATATTTCAACTTTCTGGGATCGCGTCGCTGGGTCGCCTGTGCCCAGAATGGGCTCGACACACGGGAGGCGACATCGCCTCTCCTCCATTCATTTTCAATGAGACATGCGCGACAAAGCGATAATCGCGGGTCTCCCTCCTACTCAACGAAACGTGAAAAACGTGCGTGTGAAATTTTGCACTCGTGCACGTGTGATGCACAGGCGACCCAGCGACGCGATCCCAGAAAGTTGAAACATTTTCAACTTTTCATCGCTGTCGCTCGGACGAGGACCAATCAACGGAGGTTTCATTCACTGACCAATGAGCGGACAGGATGCTCCGTACATCTCCGAGCAAGCACGGACTCCGTTTCTCCTTCTGTGATTGTTCATCTTTAGGGGCTCGACACACGGGAGGCGACAAACGACCGCGATCAGCGAAATTCGTCACCGTCGCTTTTATTACCTGACACACGGGAGGCGACCCGCGGCAGCGGCCAGTGGCAAAGCCGTCTACGCGTTCTGTTCCATGGCGAAATCGAAACTTCCGTTGTTTTGATTGGCTGTGTCAGGTTGGAGGGAATTAAGGTTATTTAAGCGGTTCAGAGTTAATAAAGCGGTAGATATGATGTTTCACAAGGTGCTGCTAGAGTTATGTGAAATCTTACTTCTGATTTTACTATAAAACATAATAATAATTAACTTCTCCTCCATGTTTGCTCGGAGATGTGCGGAGCATCCTGTCCGCTCATTGGTCAGTGAACGAAACCTCCGTTGATTGGTCCTCGTCCGAGCAAAAGCGATGAAAAGTTGAAAATGTTTCAACTTTCTGGGATCGCGTCGCTGGGTCGCCTGTGCACGACACGTGCACGAGCGCAAAATTTCACACGCACATTTTTCGCATTTCGCTGAGTAGGAGGGAGACCCGCGATTATCGCTTTGTCGCGCATGTCTCGTTGAAAATGAATGGAGGAGAGGCGATGTCGCCTCCTGTGTGTCGAGCGCCATGTGAGGTCCAAACCGTGTGATAAATTGAGGCATGTCCTGATAGACAGAGTAGCCCTCTCCTGGTTTGTAATATGGGATGAACCCATTCTCGGGTTTTTTTAATATAGTAAAATCAGAAGTAAGATTTCACATAACTCTAGCAGCACCTTGTGAAACATCATATCTACCGCTTTAGTAACTCTGAACCTCTTAAATAACCTTAATTCCCTCCAACCTGACACAGCCAAACAAAACAACGGAAGTTTCGATTTCGCCATGGAACAGAACGCGTAGACGGCTTTGCCGCTGGCTGCTGCCGCGGGTCGCCTCCCGTGTGTCGAGCCCATTGGACTCTTGTAAAGGTGAAACCAGTTTCTAAATCAGTCTGAATGTGCAGATTAGTACGACGGTTATCCTACACAAGAAACAGTCACAGCTGAAGGTCGTTCTGTTCCCTTCAAAGCTGAATCTTTACATCTCAACAAGATGATTGATGAATAATCAGAGGGTTCATCTGGAGAAGCTGGTGGATCACTTTCCAGTAGCTGTTCATGGCCACAACATTAGCAGGTGAAGACTTTTGGGTGCCTGGAAGTTCACACTGATAGTGACCTCAGCTGACAGACTCATCGATGCTCGGATCCATCAGCGTATGCAGACTCAGGCGGTTTGGTGCATGTTCAGAGGTAATGATGATCTTCTACACAGCAGTAATTGAGTCCATTTTGAGATATGGCAATGCATGTTGGTTTGGTAACCTCACTGAGAAGTCAGGGCTCAGATTTAACCATTCACTAAGATAGCTGGGAGGATAATGGGTTCAACTGCTCCCTTAACACCACAAGAGCTGTTTGAGCAGACCATCCTCAGACAGGCAGATCCCTCCCTCGTTCTACACTCTGAATATGATTTACTACAGCCACGGCGAAGACACACAATCTGCTTCTGTCAACACAACTGGTGCAAACTGCTGCTATCAGTTGTGACAGTAATGAACAAAATGCATGAGATGAACATATTTGGTGGAACACGCTGTGGCCTGGGCGGGTAAATCCTCCGCTTATTCCAAGTTTGTATCCAGAGGCTGGGGTGAGAGTGGTGGGCTACTGTGTGGTTATGATTAAACTTGTTTCTGGATGAGTAAAGCGTGGTGCAGTGTAACAACCACCCACCCCCCAACCCCCACCCCCGCCCCGCAAAACCACGTTTCTCCCAAGGAAGACAAATAAAGAACTTGGACCTGATATTTAGGAGAAAACTAACTGACCAGTTGTTGACCTGCAGGATGGTCAAGCCGGTGTCCTGGGACAGCTGCTTCTTCTGCTCCTCTGATGGGTACGGGTGCTAGAGTTACACACACACACACACACACACACATTAGGCGTTACACAACTCAGACACCTGCTGGTGGTGGTTGGAGGGACCGGTGGCATCAGTGTTCGGCAGGCCTTTCCTTTGTCAGTGCGCCGCAGGGCAGGCCATTTACCTGCTGCAGGTGATGAACAATCTCACTTTGAAGAAACAGAGTATCTCGGATCAATCAGGCCAACTAAACGTTAGGCTCAACTCAAACATGCCTAAAAACATCTAAAGTTTAAAATGATTTATTATTTTTGTTTTCAGGAAAACTCCAGCTGTCACCTAAGCTGCTGAAATATTCATTCCAGGTTGTGCTCCAGTGTGTCAAAGTCCTTTGGTTCATACCTGTTGGAGTTATGTCGCCACCATGATTTTACACAAGGAATTATGGGTAATCTAGATCTTTGCATTGGTGCTTGTTCAGATTTCAGTTCGTCCTGAACTTTACATTAAACATTTGAACTTTGTTCCTTTTGCTTTTCTAACCACAAATATATTAATAATAATAATAATAATAATAATAATTATTATTATTATTATTATATGACAGTGACTTTAGTAATTATTCCCTTCTATAATATTTCTGATGGTTTGTGTTAGTTACATCATTAAAATCATTATATTAACTCAAATTGTTTCCTAATTCCACTAAATAATGTGACTGTGTGTGTGTGTGTGTGTGTGTGTGTGTGTGTGTGTGTGTGTGTGTGTGTGTGTGTGTGTGTGTGTGTGTGTGTGTGTGTGTGTGTGTGTGTGTGTGTGTGTGTGTGTGTTCTTAAGGTTTCATCTAAGTAACACAAACTCTCAGCATGAAAACCAAGGCTAAACTCAAGCCCCTTAAAGCTTCTCTCTCTCTCTCTCTCTCTCTCTCTCTCTCTCTCTCTCTCTCTCTCTCTCTCTCTCTCTCTCTCTCTCTCTCTCTGTCTCTCTCTCTCTCTCTCTCTCTCTCACACACACACACACACACACACACACACACACACACACACAGACACACACACACACACACACACACAGTCAGCAACATGCTCCTTTATTGGTTAATTACTGAACCACCTCCTCTCCAGTTTCCATCACTTCTACAAATATTCACATAATCTCTTAATCCTGGTTCACTGACATCTATTTTAAACTAAATAGAATACAAGCCCAGTAGTAATCTCACTTTCCTGTTGTAACCACCATGGTACCACATCAGAGAACGCTGGAGCTCACCGTCAGGTGCTGGAAGAGCCACGCTCTCATGATGTTCGTGGCCACTTTGGGGAAGATGCCTCTCTTCTTGTTGTTCCGGCGGTCTCTGTCGCTGTCATCCTCCTCTCCGGTGCTGGGGGAAGCCATTCCTCCATCCAGACCATCACCTGAAAACCACAGGGACATCACATCCACAGCTGATCCGGACCAATAGGAAGCCTCCTTCTGCATTAAAGTTATTATTAGTCCATTTAAAATGAACAACTAAAACATTAATATTACAAACATTACAAAATGTATACATTTATTTTCTGGAAAAACAAACACTTCAGCTGTAGCCCATGCTACTGCCAGTTGTGCTCCTGGGTGTTCTCCAAGTCTTTTGATATTCAAGTTATGTCACCATCATTAATTTACACATGGGATTATGGGTAATCTAGATTGCTGTGTTTCACCTGCTGTAGATAGATTCCTGAGAGGTGTCATGTTGTTCATCTGGAGCAATAGATGTTATACCATACTGAAAATTACAATAATAATGTTAATATCAATGGACTATAATTTTTTACTCAAACATCCTCATAAAATTTACATATTTTTTTCGTTATTTAATGCATCTTCTAGCTGGATATAAAGAATAAAGATGCACTAAATTACAGCAGATAGAAAGTTGAGCAGAGGGAAGCCACCCGCTTGGTTCAGGAATGCCATCAGACAGAGGTGTCCACTATTTCTGCAAACTGATGCTGTTCAGGAAGCTGTCTACAACGGGTGATTATTTATAGAAACTAGGGATGTGTATTGGTGAAATTATGGCGATATGATGCGTATCACGGTACAGGGAGACGATGCGATACATTCAGTCAGATGATGTTAGCGACAGTTTGAGACTGAAATTATTGCAGGAAAATTCACTAAACAGTCCAAACTGATACGTAACATGTTAACGGTGAGGTATCTGAACCATAACAGAGGGATTTACATTTCAGTGGTGGAAAAAATAAACATCGCACACTCCCGCCAGCCAGGGCTGGACCGGAACAAAAATTCAGCCCGGGCATTTTGACTGGAGACCAGCCCATCACCTGTTTTTTTTTTTTTTGGAAAAGACATTAAGCCTTACGCTGTTTCTGACACACACCAACGTACGCTTTCTTACTGGTAATATTTATGTATCAATCTAATAAACGTAAACCTACACCATCCTTCCTATCCTGGTATTCTAAAAAGTAGGGCTGGGGGTAAACGATTATTTTTAAAACGATTATTCTGACGATTATTTTATCGAATAGTCGACTAATCTAATCACTATTTAGATGATTAATCTAGCGATTATTTTTCTATTGCACAATTAATAAAAACCAAAAAATCTAAAATAAATTCCTCCAAAAAATGGATAAATTGTTACTGTAAGAGAATAAACACTACAGGCCTTCCATTTTGTATAACACTGCTTTTATTGTGTTGGTTGGTTATGTTCTGGTGACGTGTAGAACTTGGGAGTGCAGGCTGCTGCCTGAGAGGTGGTTGGAGACGGAGTGTCTCCATGCTGCTTTGTTTTGGTCACTTATGTGCCTGAGGCGAGTGGTGTTACGACTCTTCCTGGGGAGTTTGGCTCGTGTGCAAAAAGGAAGGGACAATAATGGGATTTAAAAGTTAAAATGATGATCAGGTTTATTTACAACAACAAAAATCATAAATCTTTCCATCCACAGGTTGGGAATAATAAAACTAATTCTGCCTGTGAGGAATTAAAACAAAAGTACAAATAAGTAGGGATGTCCCACTGGGCAAAGATTACTGGGTTCTGGACCAAAGTAAGGATCTCCAAAGGTCCAACTCTAAACTGGGTGGTTAAACCAAACTCAAGGTGATATTTTAAACTAAACCGAAAACCCACAACACTCTAAATGTAATAAAAGGGAGACCTGCACCACAAAAACGATGAACTCTAAACCAAAACGTAACAGCTTATCCAAACGCAAGAAGATGTTAGCGAAGATGCTAACAGTAGCTTTACCAACGTTAAGTTCAGGTTACCAAGTTTAAATAAACCAAAAACACCCAGCAGCAAACAGAAGAGCACAGAGGAGAGACTGCTACCACCAAAACAGCTCTCCTAATGTCTGAAAGAAGCTCAGAAGGTAATATTTAGGTAAATGTAACCCTTTACAGGTGACCAGGACACTGTGATCAATTTTTGGCAAGGGAAATGATCATTTGTTGCCATTTTTGAGGTGTTTATGAATGAGGAAGAGACCCAGCATCCTGTGATGGCACTACTAACATCAAGAGATAATAAATAATGTAATATTTAGGTAAATTTAACCCTTTACAGGTGACCAGGACACTGTGATCAATTTTTGGCAATGGAAATGATCTTTTTTTGTGTGCCTTTTTTGGGGTGTTTTTGATGATACAGTAGGCAGTATGAGTACAGTAACATCAACAGATAATACATAAAAGCCTTATTTGGTCAATTTTAGCCTCCATGAAAATCTGAGCGATTCAATCACTTTTTGGCAAGTAAAATGCCATTTTAGTTGTCTACAATTAAATCATCGATAAAGAATTTAAAGATATTTTGAGGCGTTTCTTATAGGTAAACGGGAGGGTGTAGTCTCTTAATTTTATGTGCTGAAGTGCTTTTAGCTTGTTACTTTTAAATAGAGCAACGTAATGTATAGATAGTAACCTACACAGTGTCATTAAAGCCAAAGCTTGATCAGTTTAAATAGTAAAAATGTGCCCCAAACTAGCTAACTGTGGCTCCATGTCAAGTGGACTAAAGAAAGGAAGGGGGGAAAAATTCAAATCGCTGGAGAATTGTTTATTTACATTTATACAACGTTTACATTCAATACAGGGCGCCATTTTACATAGTTTGTTTATTTTTTAGTATCAAGGCTGTAAAATAAAGAAAGCCAGTTCTTACCACAAACCATCTTTCAATCGCAAATATTGCAAAAAGGATTAATATATCCTCATTGTGAACGTTAAAGACAATAGCAACACTTAAAACAACTTCCGAACTGGAAAAACTAATATCCGCGATAAACATCAGTTTAAGTACCGGGAGAGGTTATCGCTGCTTTCTGAATGTCCATATTGCTAGATTTGCTGAGTTTTAGGGCGAAATCCTGGGGAATTTTGTCTAGAAATGCAATTACCTAACCGTGCGCGATCCCGCGGTGGCTAATCATTTTTTGGCAGCGAGTCAATTTATGGCACAACACCGGCTCGGGTTTCTCCTCCTCCTCCCTCTTTTCTTCTCCAACCTGTCGCTGGGCTGAGGCTCCATCACTTCCTAAATTGATTTTACTTGAACCTTCACTACCAAACAACTGTGAGATTTTAACACATGTGCCAGCATCAGCCTGAAGGGCCAGTTTCTTTTTTAGTCGAATTTTCTCCGCTCCTCCTTTCCGTTTTTTGTTCTCCATTTTGTAAAGCTCGTCTGTCTGTTTACTGAGACTCAAACAACTGGTGGGTGCATCAGACCTCTGGCTATTGGTCCAGCCCAGAGTGTATTATGACCAATTGGCCAATCCACCAACTTTTACGAGGCGTCGCGTGGGGCGGCGCGGACAAGTTGTCCGCAACAACTAGAGGCCAGGAAAAAAAAAGTAAAAAAAAACAGACACCAGCCCATAAATGATGAAAGGGTCGGCCCAGCGGGCAGTTGCCCGCTATGCCCTATGGTCAGTCCAGCGCTACCGCCAGCTAGCAGTCTGCGTTTGAATCGCTCCAAAAGAAAAGCAAATACACAAATGTTTCTTCCAAAAATTAGATACACGGCTTTTGAGTATTGATATAATATTGCTGGAAAAAGTATCACGATATATTGCAATATCGATATTTTCTTACATCCCTATTATGAACACTTGTCTCTTTAGGACAGTTACTCCAGATTGGGGAGAGACAGACATTTACACACATTCAAAGAAGACATTGTTGTTTTTGCTTGAAAATGACAGAAGTTAGCCACCGGTAAAGATTTCACTTATATCACAGAAATATTAGAAATTTTAACAACATTAGTATCTAAATAATCGGGCTATAACTACAGAAGCCACGGCTCTGGTGGTTCGTTGATAGGTTGTTTTTTATGCTGACGCATGAAAATGCTCTCTGAGACAAATCCATATCTGCATGAGCCCTGAAAGCCAGGACCGCCCGTCTTTCTGTCCTCCAGTGTTTCACTACAGAGGACAGAAGGTGCAGAATAATTACAGACCAGCAACCACGTCACAGGCTGCTGTGTAAAACCCTTACTACACAGGCACGTGCATGTAAGTGTGTGTGTGTGTGTGTGTGTGTGTGTGTGTGTGTGTGTGTGTGTGTGTGTGTGTGTGTGTCTGGGTGGGTGCGTGTGAATGTGTGCGTGTGTGAGTGCATGTATGAGGGTGTGTGTGTGTGTGTGTGTGTGTGTGTGTGTGTGTGTGTGTGTGTGTGTGTGTGTGTGTGTATGTGTTTGTGTGTGTGTCTGGGTGGGTGCGTGTGAATGTGTGCGTGTGTGACTGCATGTGTGTGTGTGTGTGTGTGTGTGAATGCTTGTGTGTGTGTCTGGGTGGGTGCGTGTGTGAGTGCATGTATGAGTGTGTGTGTGTGTGTGTGTGTGTGTGTGTGTGTGTGTGTGTGTGTGTGTGTGTGTGTGTGTGTGTGTGTGTGTGTGTGTGTGTGAATGCTTGTGTGTGTGTCTGGGTGGGTGCGTGTGTGAGTGCATGTATGAGTGTGTGTGTGGGTGGGTGCGTGTGAATGTGTGCGTGTGTGAGTGCATGTATGAGGGTGGGTGTGTGTGTGTGTGTGTGTGTGTGTGTGTGTGGGTGTGTGCATGCGTGTGCGTGTGTGTGTGTGTGTGTGGGTACGTGTGTGCGTGCGTGTGTGTGCGTGTGTGTGCGCGTGTGCGAGTGTGTGTGTGTGTGTGTGTGTGTGCATGTGTGTGTGTGCGTGCGTGTGTGTGCGTGCGTGTGTGTGTGTGTGGGTGCGTGCGTGTGTGTACGTGTGTGAGCGTGTGTGTGTGTGTGTGTGTGTGTGTGTGTGTGTATGTGTGTGTGTGTGTGTGTGTGTGTGTGTGTGTGTGTGTGTGTGTGTGTGTGTGTGTGTGTGCGTGTGTGTGTGTGCGTGCGTGTGTGTGCGTGCGTGTGTGTGTGTGTGGGTGCGTGCGTGTGTGTACGTGTGTGAGCGTGTGAGCGTGTGTGTGTGTGTGTGTGTGTGTGTGTGTGTGTGTGTGTGTGTGTGTGTGTGTGTGTGTGTGTGTGTGTGTGTGTGTGTGTGTGTGTGTGTGTGTGTGTGTGTGTGTGTGTGTGTGTGTGTGTGTGTGTGTGTGTGTGTGTGTGTGTGTGTGTGTGTGTGTGTGTGTGTGTGTGTGTGTGTGTGTGTGTGTGTGCGTGCGTACCCGCATCGCTGCAGTTGTCCACTGTGCTGTGTGAAGGCAGGCCACAGGTGCCTGGTGTTCCCAGAGGAGTGGTGGCGCATTCATCAGGTTCTCGAAGCCATGCTGCATTCTGGAGAGGAGCGAGAGAAAGGGGTGAGCTTCATGTGAGGAAGTGCAACAAGCAATCCCAAAAACCGCATTTGTCATCCAGAGTCCAACCTGCTCTGATAAACTGGTGCAAGATCCACCAAAGTCCTCCATGTCGGACTTGGAGCCTCCCTCCCGCTCATCCAGAACCAGGTCTGTGGGCATCTTCCCTTTCAGGCAGGTGATGTAGCGATGGCAGAAGTTATCACACAAGTCGTGCACCTTCAGAAACAAACACTGTTGTCATCAGTCAGCCGTGAAACATTCATCAACCGTCATCTTGGGTGAGAGGGAAGGGCCATGAGACATAAAGCCAGTCACACACACACATACACACCCAGAGACAGGTAGAGTCTCCACTTATCCTGGCATTCAGTTTTGACTGGTAGTATGAAACCAGAGAGAATGTGCTGCACTGATGCTGCAGTGCCACCTACCCCACCATGCAGACTGCTACTAAACAGTTCACAAACACTGCAAAATCAAACTTGGATGTAGCAGGTTAGCATCTGTTCATGTAGGCGCTCCCTTCTTTGTCTTTTTAATGCAAATATAGACCAAAAATAAGGAAGTATAAAAGTGTTTAATGGAGGACATCATCACAGCATCTCACCAACCTTTTCTAACTCCAGTAAATGGAAGCGAAGAACCTGTATGGCCTGGATCATCTGTGACGCAGGAAGGGAGTGATAAAGACATATCCCACAATGCAACGTGGTAAAGGTGCTGTTGGTTTGTACGTCTTACCAAATTATCCAGCTCAGGATTGGAGGAAAAAATGGGCTTTTCTGAGCGAATCTGCAACAGAGTCAGCTGTTAGGAAATGTGAAATATCTGACTCTCATCTCTCTACATGTCCTCAAACGGGTGTGGAGTCATCAATTCTATAAAGTTAACTTTGCAACAGGAGTAGCTCACACCACTCCTGTCACACAGGCAACCTGCTGTAACACAAAATGCGCTCCACGCCTACATGGTCAGCACAGGACAGGTGGACAAAAGGACGATCTGATGTCTCTGTGTCCACTGATGGCACTTTTCTGATTGGCTGAAGCCCACCTGCTTTGCGAAGGCAGTGATGTCATCGTTAAAGGACTCTGAGGAGCAGACATCGCTGTGATTGGCCATGACAGGAAGGTGGGAGGTGGCTGAGAGGGAGGAGGAGGAGTCACGAGGGGAGCAGGTGGCCAGCTCACACTTCTCAAACACTAAGGCCAGCAGTGGAAAGAGAGGGTGACTGCACACACACACACACACACACACACACACACACACACACATGCACGCACGCACGCACACACACACACACACACACACACACAGTTAACATACTGTACATAAACACAGTAACAGTTGTTGTAGAGCACACCTGATAGGTCTACAGTAAAGCATGTATGTCCCAGTATTCCTGAAGCAGACAGCTGTGAACATGCAGTGTGTATTCCTACTCAGCACACACACACACACACACACACACACACACACACACACACACACACACACACACACACACACACACACACACACAGACTTCCACACCCCATAACTCATCCTACCCATAGATCTGGTCTTTGTGATGTTTGAGGGAGTCGGGGATGGTGGGGCCGTACTGTGGAGGAGGAAGTGCCCTGACATCATCTCCGTACCCCCCCACCGACATAGCCTCCGGCCCTGAGTACTGCACCAGGTCTTCATACTGAAACACAATTATAAGGAGACGCTGCAAACATGAGACACGTTGGACATCTGTGTCTGACATCAAGTCGTCCTGTGATTTTATTACGTGACTGTGATGGGGGGGGGTTAATCACTTAGCAGCCTTGGTCTCTGTGCTGCTGCTGTTTGATCAAAAACTAAGATGTAGTAATAAAGATTTGCAAACTTTAATAAGTTGCCTTAAAGACAGGAAAGCAGGGTCGGATCTAGTTCCTGGAAACCATTGCTGTGGTTGAAGCTCTGAGGAGGAGAGTGAGCCTGAAGCCTAAACGGGGTCCACCTTATTAGGACTGGGTTTTGGTCCTAATGAGGCCCATCGCTCTTCAGAAGATCAATGAATATGCCAGTTATGGTTCTAAGTAGGATAGTTAAACAAGTACACACACACACACACACACACACACACACACACACGTGGTCAACAATCTGCAGCCAAAAGTTATGATGAATTGGGGAAACAGTCTGATTACATATTTGTCTGCATTGAAGTTTTTCTCCGTCCCTACTTGGAGAAACAGACATAACTGGGTTTTTGTCTAATTAATAAGTTAAAATGTATAAAAGAAACACCTCGAGGTTAAATAATTCTTCCCAAGCTGCAGCCCGACTTTAGCGGGTCTAAACGGCTTATCAGAGCCCATATGGTCCAGATAGCACCTGCTCTGAGGCCCTGTTCCCGAACACCTCCTAGTTTTATGGAGGTCGGCTATTAAAACAATCGCCGCGATCAGATTGCGCGTCTCCTTTTACGCACGGCTCCTATCGAGTTTCTGTGTCAGGAGGATCAAAGCGCGCAAGTTCAGATGCCAGATTCCGCAAAAGTTGCTTTTTTTAAGTCACGAACAGATTTGAGATGAGAGGAAAATGTTTCTTAACAAGTCTGAACTGTGTGACATTTCCACTGAAAACAAGAAGCCGCTGAGAGCCGTGTGAGTCTATCACTTTATGATCAAATATGTAAATATGTGACGTTTTAACGAAGCTGAGCACGATTCTCGTGCAGAAAACTGCACTTTTAAAACTTTATAAACGATTAAATCATATTAAAACAGGTTTAAATCGGACTTTCTCCACACAAAACTGGGAAGTTTTCTGTGAAGATTTGTGGGGGGAAAACAAAGCGCTTTAACCCCGTTTTCACCCAAAAGTTATTAAAATTTGTAGCATAAAATGTAGAATTCCCTAGCATCCTAAACGCGTATAAGTTCCAAAACATGCATTCAAAAGCTTCACGCTAAAGGTTTTAACTGCCGCAAACATCTCATGTCAGACACGGAGTGCTTCAAACCAAAACGTTTATTTTGGCATAAAAACAATGATAGCAGAGCACCAGTTAAAGTGTAAAACACCCAGATTATTACAATAAATCACATTTAATATGATGTTGTGAGACTGCCTGTCTGCTGTTTGCGCAGGGTTGCCTGCTGCCCTTCAACCTCCTCCTCCTCCTCCTCCAAGCCTCTGAATCACTGTAGCAAAAACACTGACCTACTTACCGAGTTGGAGCAGCATCTCCTCTTGATTTACTCAGAATGGCTGTAAGGATCCTAATTCAGAGGTTTTCAGGTTAAATGATCACTTTTGTACAATGCAGACAGCATTGTACACTAATGATGAAATATACCAAAGTCGGTTCCTTTTGCGTTATTATTATTATTATTATTATTATTATTATTATTATTATTATTATTATTATTATTATTTCCACACGGAGAGCTGAAAGCTGGAGACATAAATATTTATTGAGGGGGTTTCCTTTAACTAAAGTCCATACTGGTCTGGAACTGGGCCTTGTGTGTTTTTGTGGCAGCTGTCCACATTCTAACCCATGTGTTTTTATTATTGTTGTTTTTGTTTTTTTACCGGATCCGCATGTTTAATCGGGAGCATGTTGTGGTTAATAACATGTACTATAAATAAAACCAGACCTACCCTCTTCTCCATGCGACTCGACAGCCAGACCTACCCCGGAGATGGGGATGCGCTGCTCGGCTACCGTCCGCAGATCTGCCCTCCCTTCCTTCCTCTGCCTCCGGGCTCCTGCTGAAATCAGAGGGCATTTGTTTTCTTTTCTTTTCTCAACCAGTAATTAAGTTACGAGCATCATGATGATGAACATGCGACAGCCCGCGAGGAGTCAAGGAGCCGCTCCTGCTGCGTGTTTACTCCCTGTCCATCCATCGCGTTTATCTTACAACATGATGACGGGATGGAGGCTTTATGGACGGATGATCAGCTCCCAGCCCGCTGCCTGTCTGAGAGCCTAATAGCTTAAAGGGAATAAACCCCGCGGTCTATAGGCGCTATTGGTTGGTGAAGATCCGGTAATGTGTGTATAGATGTCCCACCGAGACGTAAAAATCCAGTCCGGTTCTGGTTGAGTCCGGTAGTCCAGGGAGCGGGTGGTGAAGGGAGCAGCGGCTTCCTGCAGCGCCTCGCCTCCGCCTGGTGCGTCTCTCCCTCCGATTCGGGGCGTCGGGGATGCTCGGTGACACGCAGAGGCGTCCTCTCCTCTCCTATCGCCGCTTGCTGGCTTTTCTCTGTTTTTGGCCCTTTGCGCTCGCTGTCCACGCAGCAGAAGAAGCCAGGCTGGGAAATGTCACGGCCCGGGATGAGCGATGGTGTTTTCAGTCTGGAGTCTATGGGGAGGAGGGGGGGGGGGGGGGGGGGGGATGTGAGGGAGGAGCGCTCTGGTGGTGGCCAGGCGGGTTGCGGGGAGGGTTTCTGGGGTCAAAACGCGACGGGATCTCTTGCCCCCTCACCCCACCCATCTCTCACTCCCCCATCCTCCCCCTCTTCCTCCTTACTCCTCCTCCTTCTTATCATACACACAAAACACTAAAGAAGCTCGAATGGTTCTCTTTCTGCCCTTTTCTCTCTCATCCCTGCAGCAGGATTGGAATAAAAAACTAAAGAGCCTTATTTCAAATCTGAACTGTTGGGCCTCCAATAAACACGGACTTATTATTAGCTATTTGGAGACTTTTTAATGGACCATGTCGTTGATTTTAGGGTCATAAACTTAGTGTGGAGCGTGCTGGCCGAGTGATAAATAGCTTTTATGACGTTTGGGGCGTCAGCCTTCGGTCTTCTTGTTGATTGGAGAATAAAGAAGAGAAAACAAACTATTCAAGTTTAATTTTTGCCGCAGAGACGGAGAGGAAATAAGCCTTTCACATGTCAGTTAAACTCGCAGTGTTGTGTTGTAAATGTCACCTCAGTAACATAATAATTATCCAGGACGCTCCTCTCTGACGGCCCCGCTGCGAGGGGCCAACAGGCGGTTGCACATCAATCAGCGGCCGGGGCAGGGCTCTCTGTGGGCGGCATGCTGTGTGACGGCGGGGCCGCGCGGGACTGGACCCCGCACCGTCTACAGCCAGGGATCTTTCAACTCAGCTGGGAGTGGGCTTCCTGCGGGGGTGATCACAGCGATCAGTCCCCTCCTAGACAGACGTGAAGATGCATCGATGGGCTGGAAAGGCTTGTTTTCCCTTCAGCAGGTCAAACAAAAAGGATTATTTACATTTTCCTTCATCATAAATTTCAGATAGACAGATTGTTTGTCTGTCTTTATTGAGATGAATCAGACCATAATTCTTCAGGCTTTTCAGCATTTATCTGAAGAGCTATTAAATATAATTACACAAGTTAAGATTTGTTTAACCTTTATTTTTACACTGAGGAGAAACAATTAACAAATTTACACCAAATGACAAAGAAAACCAGTTTGTGACGTCTCAGTTACTCAGTTACTCAGTTACTCAAGATACTTGCTTTGGATTCTTTGTTGTGTTAATATCTCTCTCTCTCTCTCTCTCTCTCTCTCTCTCATTCTTTCTCTCTCTCTCTCTCTCTCACTCTGTCTCTCACTCTCACTCTGTCTCTCGCTCTCTCTCACTCACTCTCTCACTCACTCTCTCACTCACTCTCTCACTCACTCTCTCTCTCTCACTCACTCTCACTCTCTCTCACTCACTCTCTCTCACTCTCTCTCACTCACTCTCTCTCTCTCACTCACTCTCTCTCACTCTCTCTCACTCACTCTCACTCTCTCTCACTCACTCTCTCTCACTCTCTCTCACTCACTCTCTCTCACTCACTCACTCTCTCACTCTCTCTCACACTCTCTCTCTCACTCTCTCTCTCATTCTGTCTCTCTCTCTCACTCACTTTCTCTCACTCTCTCTCTGTCACACACACACACGCACATGCACACACACACGCACACAAACACACACACACACACGTACACACACACACACACACACACGTACTTGTATTTACATGCTTGTTCGGACCTCCATTGACTTCCATTCATTTTAATGACTCCACTATGCTTAAACTCCACATTAACCAATTCCTTATCCTATACCTAAATTAAAAGTTAAATCCCAACATACCTCTAAAACCAAGTTTTGGGGTGCTGTGTGGATCATCAACATAAAATAGCCCGCCCATTGCTCTGCTAGGGGGAGGTTAAAGCCAACAATGGGAGGTTCCCACCACCGATTTATTTTTACCGTATTACACGTCTCATCACGCCCAGACAATCCAAAAATAGGACAAGAACTTGAGGGTTGGAACAAATTAACCAATGTTGCTACTAGCTAACTTAATTCAATTCAATTCAAGTTTTTTTATAAAGCGCCAAATCACGACAAGAGTCGTCTCAAGGCACTTCACATAATAAACATTCCAATACAGTTCAGTTCATTAAGCTAAAAACGGTAAAAAGTTTCCTATATAAGGAACCCAGCAAACTGCATTAAGTGTCTGACTTTACAGCAATCCTCATACTAAGCAAGCATTGGACAGTGGAGAGGAAAACTCCCTTTGAACAGGAAGAAACCCCCAGAGCAGGGGTGGGCAATTTGTAACTGCTCGGAAGTAGTGAAAACTCGCACTGCTCATCAGCGCAGGTGGGCGGACTACTTCCGAGAAGACGGAGCTGTAAAGAGACATTTGAACCGCGGATGCGCAAGGACGTAAGAAGAGCACAGCTGTTAAGGGACATTCAAGATAAGACCAAAGGTTTGGACACGCAACGGTCAAGAGCGGTCTAAGTAAAAGGGTCAAGTCTGACAGTCAATTAAGCAAACTGTGATTGAAAGAAAGGTCTTCGTGGCAAACCTGGGTTCATTCGTGTATATTACCGGGTGTATTTAACGTTTATTGGAACTTATAAATTAAGGATTTCAGTTAAAGGGCCAGTAATTTTCTATATTGGTACATTTTATTTTGTAACCTTTATTTGTTTAAAATGTGTTAAGTATTATATTTGACAACATTTATTACTGCATTTAAATTCGTGTATATTACCGAAAGTGTATTTAACGTTTATTGGAACTTATAAACTAAGGATTTGAGTTAGAGGGACAATAATTTTCTATATTGGTACATTTTATTTTGTAACCTTTATTTGTTTAAAAGGCGTTAAATATTATATTTGACAACATTTATTACTGCATGTAAATTCGTGTATATTACCGAAAGTCTATTTAACGTTTATCGGAACTTATAAACTAAGGATTTCAGTTAAAGGGCCAATAATTTTTTATATTGGTACATTTTATTTGTAACCTTTATTTGTTTAAAAGGTGTTATATTTGACGACATTTAGTACTGCATGAGAAGTAGTTTAGTGTACTATTTGTTATGAGTTACTGCCAGATGTGACTGCAAAGGACACAATTAGTGTATAGTTCGACAGACAGGTTTTAGTTAGTTATTTAGACGTAAGATGACTGAACCAAATCAGCCCCTATTTTATTGTGAAGAAGATCAAGAAGTTGAAAGCTCAGAAGTTTCACAAGGACCTGTGGCTCGAACAAGAAAGAGCCAAAGAGTCAGGACTCTCACAGAAAAGGGAAAAGGAATGCAGGATGAAAAAATTAAAAGCCTTCGTCAGAAATTCAACTACCTTTTTGAGAAGTGGAGAGTATGTGCCAAAGCATCCAAACGATCCTTATCACAATTAGAATCCTTAACTGAAGATTTACTTAACGACATTATTGGTGATGTAACAGAACTTTCTGCAGATGTTCAGCGGGCATTCAGTGAGTTACGTCTTAACACACCTCCTGATCAGGAAACACGGCGCAAGGTGGATCTCTGTGTACAGATATCTAAGTTTATTGTATCCAAAGCTAACAGTAATGTTGAAGGAAGGCCAGAGGAAGAAGAACAAGAATGGCCAGATATGGGATCTCTATTTGAGTCAACTATCTCAAAGTCCTGTGCTTCTGAACGCTCCAGTAAATCGTCTGTAAGACACCAAGAAGCTGCTGCAGAAGTAGCTGCAAGCCAAGCTGTTCTAAGAGTGCTAGAAGAGCAAGAAATTGAACAGAAAGAAATTGAGAGGCTTGAAGCTGAAGTAAAAAGAAAAGCAGCCGAGCAAGAAGCTTTAAGTAAAAAGCTTCGTCTGGAAGGAGAAGCAGAGGAACTCAAACTGAGAATGCAAATAGAAGAAAATGAAGCAAAGTTAAAGGCTAAACAAGAAGAAGAATACGCAACTCTGCAACGGTCTCTTGATGAAAGAAAACGTAAGTTACAGCACTTAGAGAAGGTGAAAGATCTATGTGCAGCTCAAGCGAGAATGCAAGTGTATGATCAGAGCAGTGTAACGGAGGACATCATAGTGGACATGTCAAACACTAAGGATGAAGCCCTCCGACAGCCGAGTCGTGAGCTACATCAAGGGCACATTGTTACCCAAGCTACAACAAACAATGTAGACAATGTTACAGCAGAGCTTGTTAAGGCGCTAGCAGGAGCATTAAATGCTAGCAGGATACCGGTTCCAGAACCACCAATCTTTAATGGGGATCCACTAAGATACAGTGACTGGAAACTCTCATTCCACACGCTCATTGATCAGAAGAACATTCCAGAACAGGAGAAAGTATTCTATCTTCGCCGCTATGTGGGTGGACAAGTAAAGAGTGCACTGGATGGATACTTCCTGCTTGGAACTGAAACAGCTTATGTTGCTGCATGGAAGTTACTTGATGAAAGATACGGTAATCCATTCATAATTGCAAAGGCCTACAGAGATAAGCTTCAAGCTTGGCCCAAAATCTCAGCAAAAGACAGCATTCAGCTAAGAGATTTTGCAGACTTTTTACGTAGCTGCGAAACAGCCATGTTTCATATTAAGTCATTAGAGATTTTGAATGACTGCAATGAGAACCGAAAGATCCTCACCACATTACCAGATTGGCTCATAGCTAGCTGGAATCGTACGGCTACAGAAATTGAGGAAGCAACACATAGGTTTCCCAATTTCAGCCAGTTTGTTTCATTCATCACAAGAGAAGCAAAAATCGCCTGTAACCCTATTACATCGTTACAGTCACTAAAGCAGAGTGAGTCCAACAGTCCAGAAAGGTTGAAACCTGCAAGACAAAGAAACATTGAGGTTAAAACGTTAACTACAACTACTCAAGAACAGACAGTTGTGACCTGCATGTTCTGCAAAGGGCCCAATCATGTGCTCACGAGATGTAGAGGCTTTCTGGAAAAGGCTGTAACTGACAGAGTCAAGTTTATTAGAACAGAGGGATTGTGCTTTGGTTGTCTCCAGCCTGGCCACCAGTCAAAGGGCTGTAACAACCGAAGTATTTGTGAAAAGTGCAACAAAGGAC